AGCAGGGAGACAATATACAGCCTTGTCGTACTCCTTTTCCAATTTTGAACCAATCAGTTGTTCCATATCCAGTTCTAAACTGTTGCTTCCTGTCCCACATATAGATTTCTCAGGAGATAGATAAGGTGGTCAGCAGTCAAAGGATTTTTCGTAGTCTATGAAGCGGAAGTAGATGTTTTTCTGGAACTCTCTGGCTTTCTCCATAATCCAGTGCATGTTAGCAACCATGATGGCACATTAGAGCAATCAAACATACAATGCCTCTATTGCTCTCCACTACTGGCCTGTATTTGGCTTTGATAACTATTTCAGCTTTCTAGGTAAAGAAAACAAAACAGCACAAAACCCAGGATTCTGCCTAATCCCCATTGCTAGAGCACCAATTTCTTTATGTTTCACCTCCCTCTTCCACTAGAGGACAGTATCTCCCTTTCATGTACAGTAACTGCTTGCTAGCTTGTTTCTGCAAAAAATAGTCTCCGCGGCAAGATGGGGGTAGGGAAATCAAGAGTTCCCATCTGCTATATATATATATCGATTGGGTATGATGCACTTTTGTATATGAAACAGTATGGATGCATTGTGTGCTATTATGAGAGGGGCCTATTTATCGTGTCGCAAAAAGCACCCATTTCCTTTTCAGTCCTCTCCTGCGAAGTACATTTTGCTGTTTAAATAATGGAGCGACAGACAATAGAGTTCTGTTGCTCTGCATGCGGGCCTCCATTCCCTTTGCCTCTTCCTAAAAGGCACGTACAACATCTTTGTAATGGGGTTGATTAGCAGATACAAGGAAAAGCGAACGTTAATGTTTTCCTCGAGGTAGGAGACATGCTGCCTTCTTGCTAAACTGGCCCCTTTTCCTGAGTGTTGGAAAGTTCTAGGGGGGGCTGCATTTACCCTGGCTTTGCTTTTTCTTTAAAGAACAGATCACTGGAGATGAAAGATGTTCTGTAATATCTGAGTTTACTTACACATATAGAAAGATAAGAGGATAAATTAAGGTATACAGCCAAAGGACTCCCTAGCAGACCAGGAGGCACATCTAATAATACCTCTGCTGTACCTGCAGCTCAATTTGCAGCTCAGCGTTCTCTCTCTCTCTCTCTCTCTCTCTCTCTCTCTCTCTCTCTCTCTCACACACACACACACACACACACACACACACACACACACACACACACACACACACACACACACACACCTGACTTCCTTAGCCCTTTTTATGTACATGCTTCAATCTTTCCTCCTTGGGTAGGGACAGGAACAGTTCTCAGTGCTAAGATGGCTACGTAGGAATTCTAATGGATCATTCTTCATGAATTACTGGTGTTAGACAAACCCCAATTCCGAACAGATGTTGTATTTTCAGGTAAAACCATAGTGGCAGTGCTGTTGGCTGTAACTAGGCAGCATCCTTACAAAGGTATTGTTTCAGTTGTGACAGCAGAGATGGTGTTCCCTCATCTATGAAAAAGGGAGGGCACATACTTTATTTACTTTTATGCTCTCTTCCAGTCATTTTCCCAGGTGGGTTATAAAACCGCGTAAAAAATAATTGTAGGGGTATTCTCTCTCGGAAAAAAAAACACACACCACTCACTATAAAATCGTACGAAAAGGATCAATATTAAGATGGTTATTAAAAAAGCTCAGGAAACTATGTTGTCTGGTGTCAAAAGGTAGGTCAGCCTCACTTTGGGGAGAGTGTTCCACGTTGTGGTGCAACCACCAGGAAGGCCCTGTCTTTGGCAGCCAGGAGTCACTGGCAGGGGGAAGATGGTCTCTGGAGCAGAGGTAAGGTGCCCAAGTGTTGTGGTGCATCACATAGCCTTGCAGGAGCCACTATGGCAATCATAGATCCTTGCCAGAGGCACTGTATTGTAGTGGTTAATCTGGAGGGCTACTAGGTCTCTTCACTTCAAAAGTCCATTTAGCCAAGCACCTCATTCAGTGGCCAGCACCATCACTCAACCTGACCTACATCGCAGGGTTGATATGACAATAAAGTGGAGAGGGGAGGTCAGCCATGTATACTGTCTTTAGCTCATAGGGGGAAGAGTGGCATATAAATAAAAAAAATTTAAGAAAGTGTGTATTGACTGGATAGCAGTCTTGTTTTGAGAAAGTTCCACACAAATCCAGGATTAATGTTTTTGAGGTTTTTGTGGGCTTTTTTTTGTGC